TTAACTTCCAACCCAAACACTGTCTCTTGGAGCCATAGGGCACAGTTCATCCCACTTGGCAACCACTTGCTTTTCCTTCTAATTTATAGGTGAGTGTAGGGTGAAGGACACCCTCTTGGCAGTCATGGAGCTGACGTTCTCTCTCCACAAGACAGCAGCAGGCAGTGTGTCTTAGTCTTGCCCGGCAGGGACTTCTTCTGCGGAGGGCATACTAGTTCAGTCAAGGCTCAGGCCTTGTCTGCTGCGCTGAGCTTGGCAGCATACAGGTGAGCTGTGATGTGGTCTCTAGGAACTGGACTGACACCAGCCTAGATCATGTAGGCCCCTCAACAGCTGTCAGAGGGTAATATACATTCAGTCACTGATCTGAGGTCTGATGCTCCTGACCGGTGCGGAGCACCTCAACTCAGATTGATTTCAAACTGGAGTTACAGGTGCTCTGCACCTCTGAAAATCAGGCCCCTGGCATTTCTGGGTGCACATCCACAAATGGAGGCACCCATAATTAGTGACCCTTTCCCCAAGTTTTGCCTGAATGGTGTCACCAGATGCTGACATGGGTTTACCTCGATGTCATACAGAACATTCAGGGCCAGATTTTCAAAAGAGCCCAATACCCAGCTGCTCCCACTGAGGACAATGAGAGTTGCTGGGTGCTGAGCATTCTTGTAAACCTGGCCACTTCATGTAGGTGCCTGAAAGGGAGCTTGAGCAGTTTTGAAAACCTGGCCCTTAATATAGTTCGTTTCTAAGAAGAAAAGTCCCCAGGAGTCCCCAGTATGTCTAATTGTTTTCTCAGAAAACAGGAAGTCGCTTACTTTTTGCTCACACATATTCAAGGGGGTGTGTGTGTGTCCTACATCCATCATTTGCAGCTTGCATGCATTTTATAAAGGGACAATACTGAGGGGGTCCTTTGTGTAGGTTAGAGCCTGATTCAGCTGAGAAACCAATCAAAGGGATTTGTCCAGTTCCTCATTTGGTGTAAATTGGCATTGAAACCAATGGAATTACACCAGCTAAGGATTCGGCCCGATCTTTAGGAAGCCTCTTTCTTTTTTGTCTCTTTTCTTTAAAGGGGACCACTTCTTGAATTCAGGAAGAAAAAATAGAAAAGCTTTACCCAAAGGGGCAGGATTTGGGGGGGGGGGGTTGCAAGTTTAGGGTCCCCACAGCCTCACCTAACTAGTCTGGATCATTATAGATTAATAGTATTTACCTGTGGTTTTTATGCCGTTGTACTGTTGCAACTGCTTGGTATTGGAAGGACTCCAGAAAACCTGTAGACTGCAACTGGACTGTATTCTTTAGTAAACATTTAGGGTATGTCTACACTATGGAATAAGGTCGAATTGATAGAAGTCGGTTTTTTAGAAATCGGTTTTATATATTCGAGTGTGTGTGTCCCCACAGAAAATGCTCTAAGTGCATTAAGTGCATTAACTCGGCGGAGCGCTTCCACAGTACCGAGGCTAGAGTCGACTTCCGGAGCATTGCACTGTAGATAGCTATCCCATAGTTCCCGCAGTCTCCGCTGCCCATTGGAATTCTGGGTTGAGATCCCAATGCCTGATGGGGCTAAAACATTGTCGCGGGTGGTTCTGGGTACATATCGTCAGGCCCCCGTTCCCTCCCTCCCTCCGTGAAAGCAAGGGCAGACAATCATTTCGCGCCTTTTTTCCTGAGTTACCTGTGCAGACGCCATACCACGGCAAGCATGGAGCCCGCTCAGCTAACCGTCACCCTATGTCTCCTGGGTGCTGGCAGATGCGGTACGGCATTGCTACACAGTAGCAGCAACCCCTTGCCTTGTGGCAGCAGACGGTACAGTACGACTGGTAGCCGTCATCGTCATGTCCGAGGTGCTCCTGGCCACGTCGGCCGGGAGCGCCTGGGCAGACATGGGCGCAGGGACTAAATTTGGAGTGACTTGACCAGGTCATTCTCTTTAGTCCTGCAGTCAGTCCTATTGAACCGTCTTATGGTGAGCGGGCAGGCGATACGGACTGCTAGCAGTCGTACTGTACCATCTTCTGCCGAGCAGCCATGAGATGCGGATGGCATGCAGTCCTTCTGCACCGTCTGCAGCCAGCCAAAGATGGAAAAGATAGATGGAGTGGATCAAAACAAGAAATAGACCAGATTTGTTTTTTACTCATTTGCTTCCCCCCCTCCCCTGTCTAGGGGACTCATTCTTCTAGGTCACACTGCAGTCACTCACAGAGAAGGTGCAGCGAGGTAAATCTAGCCATGTATCAATCAGAGGCCAGGCTAACCTTCTTGTTCCAATAAGGACAATAACTTAGGTGCACCATTTCTTATTGGAACCCTCCATGAAGTCCTGCCTGAAATACTCCTTGATGTAAAGCCACCCACTTTGTTGATTTTAGCTCCCTGAAGCCAACCCTGTAAGCCGTGTCCTCAGTCGCCCCTCCCGGCGTCAGAGCAACGGCAAACAATCGGGCATCTGAGAGTGCTGTCCAGAGCAGTCACAATGGAGCACTCTGATGGGGCTAAAACATTGTCGCGGGTGGTTCTGGGTACGTATCGTCAGGCCCCCGTTCCCTCCCTCCCTCCGTGAAAGCAAGGGCAGACAATCATTTCGCGCCTTTTTTCCTGAGTTACCTGTGCAGAAGCCATACCACGGCAAGCATGGAGCCCGCTCAGCTAACCGTCACCCTATGTCTCCTGAGTGCTGGCAGACGTGGTACGGCTTTGCTGCACAGTAGCAGCAACCCATTGCCTTCTGGCAGCAGACGGTGCAATACGACTGGTAGTTGTCCTCGTCGTGTCCGAGGTGCTCCTGGCCACGTCGGCTGGGAGCGCCTGGGCAGACATGGGCGCAGGGACTAAATTTGGAGTGACTTGACCAGGTCATTCTCTTTAGTCCTGCAGTCAGTCCTATTGAACCGTCTTATGGTGAGTGGGCAGGCGATACGGACTGCTAGCAGTCGTATTGTACCATCTTCTGCCAGGCAGGCAAGAGATGAGGATTGCTAGTAGTCGTATTGTATCATCTTCTGACAGGCAGGCAAGAGATGAGGATGGCTAGCAGTCGTACTGTACCATCTTCTGCCGAGCAGCCATGAGATGTGGATGGCATGCAGTCCTTCTGCACCGTCTGCTGCCAGCCAAAGATGTAAAAGATAGATGGAGTGGGTCAAAACAAGAAATAGACCAGATTTGTTTTGTACTCATTTGCCTCCTCCCCTGTCTAGGGGACTCATTCCTCTAGGTCACACTGCAGTCACTCACAGAGAAGGTGCAGCGAGGTAAATCTAGCCATGTATCAATCAGAGGCCAGGCTAACCTCCTTGTTCCAATAAGAACGATAACTTAGGTGCACCATTTCTTATTGGAACCCTCGGTGAAGTCCTGCCTGAAATACTCCTTGATGTACAGACACCCCCTTTGTTGATTTTAGCTCCCTGAAGCCAACCCTGTAAGCCATGTCATCAGTCGCCCCTCCCTCCGTCAGAGCAATGGCAGACAATCGTTCCGCGCCTTTTTTCTGTGCGGACGCCATACCAAGGCAAGCATGGAGGCCGCTCAGCTCACTTTGGCAATTAGGAGCACATTAAACACCACACGCATTATCCAGCAGTATATGCAGCACCAGAACCTGGCAAAGCGATACCGGGCGAGGAGGCGACGTCAGCGCGGTCACGTGAGTGATCAGGACATGGACACAGATTTCTCTGAAAGCATGGGCCCTGCCAATGCATGCATCATGGTGCTAATGGGGCAGGTTCATGCTGTGGAACGCCGATTCTGGGCTCGGGAAACAAGCACAGACTGGTGGGATCGCATAGCGTTGCAGGTCTGGGACGATTCCCAGTGGCTGCGAAACTTTCGCATGCGTAAGGGCACTTTCATGGAACTTTGTGACTTGCTTTCCCCTGCCCTGAGGCGCATGAATACCAAGATGAGAGCAGCCCTCACAGTTGAGAACCGAGTGGCGATAGCCCTGTGGAAGCTTGCAACGCCAGACAGCTACCGGTCAGTTGGGAATCAATTTGGAGTGGGCAAATCTACTGTGGGGGCTGCTGTGATGCAAGTAGCCCACGCAATCAAAGATCTGCTGATATCAAGGGTAGTGACCCTGGGAAATGTGCAGGTCATAGTGGATGGCTTTGCTGCAATGGGATTCCCTAACTGTGGTGGGGCTATAGACGGAACCCATATCCCTATCTTGGCACCGGAGCACCAAGCCGCCAAGTACATAAACCGCAAGGGGTACTTTTCGATAGTGCTGCAAGCTCTGGTGGATCACAAGGGACGTTTCACCAACATCAACGTGGGATGGCCGGGAAAGGTGCATGATGCTCGCATCTTCAAGAACTCTGGTCTGTTTCAAAAGCTGCAGGAAGGGACTTTATTCCCAGACCAGAAAATAACTGTTGGGGATGTTGAAATGCCTATAGTTATCCTTGGGGACCCAGCCTACCCCTTAATGCCATGGCTCATGAAGCCGTACACAGGCAGCCTGGACAGTAGTCAGGAGCTGTTCAACTACAGGCTGAGCAAGTGCAGAATGGTGGTAGAATGTGCATTTGGACGTTTAAAGGCGCGCTGGCGCAGTTTACTGACTCGCTTAGACCTCAGCAAAACCAATATTCCCACTGTTATTACTGCTTGCTGTGTGCTCCACAATATCTGTGAGAGTAAGGGGGAGACGTTTATGGCGGGGTGGGAGGTTGAGGCAAATCGCCTGGCTGCTGGTTACGCGCAGCCAGACACCAGGGCGGTTAGAAGAGCACAGGAGGGTGCGGTACGCATCAGAGAAGCTTTGAAAACCAGTTTCATGACTGGCCAGGCTACGGTGTGAAAGTTCTGTTTGTTTCTCCTTGATGAAACCCCCCGCCCCTTGGATCACTCTACGTCCCTGTAAGCTAACCACCCGCCCCTCCTCCCTTCAATCACCGCTTGCAGAGGCAATAAAGTCATTGTTGCTTCACATTCATGCATTCTTTATTCATTCATCACACAAATAGGGGGATGACTACCAAGGTAGCCCAGGAGGGGTGGTGGAGGAGGGAAGGAAAATGCCACACAGCACTTTAAGCACAGCACTTTAAAAGTTTACAACTTTAAAATTTATTGAATGACAGCCTTCTTTTTTTTGGGCAATCCTCTGTGGTGGAGTTGCTGGTTGGCCGGAGGCCCCCCCACCGCGTTCTTGGGCGTCTGGGTGTGGAGGCTATGGAACTTGGGGAGGAGGGCGGTTGGTTACAGAGGGGCTGCAGTGGCAGTCTGTGCTCCAGCTGCCTTTGCTGCAGCTCAACCATACACTGGAGCATACTGGTTTGGTCCTGCAGCAGCCTCAGCATTGAATCCTGCCTCCTCTCATCACGCTGCCGCCACATTTGAGCTTCAGCCCTGTCTTCAGCCCGCCACTTACTCTCTTCAGCCCGCCACTTACTCTCTTCAGCCCGCCACCTCTCCTCCCGGTCATTTTGTGCTTTCCTGCACTCTGACATTATTTGCCTCCACGCATTCGTCTGTGCTCTGTTAGTGTGAGAGGACAGCATGAGCTCGGAGAACATTTCATCACGAGTGCGTTTTTTTTTCTTTCTAAGCTTCACTAGCCTCTGGGAAGGAGAAGATCCTGTGATCATTGAAACACATGCAGCTGGTGGAGAAAAAAAAAAGGGACAGCGGTATTTAAAAAGACACATTTTATAAAACAGTGGCTACACTCTTTCAGGGTAAACCTTGCTGTTAACATTACATACATAGCACATGTGCTTTCGTTACAAGGTCGCATTTTGCCTCCTCCCACCGCGTGACTACCCCCTCAACCTTCCCCCTTCCCTGTGGCTAACAGCGGGGAACATTTCTGTTTAGCCACAGGCAAACAGCCCAGCAGGAATGGGCTCCTCTGAGTGTCCCCTGAAGAAAAGCACTCTATTTCAACCAGGTGACCATGAATTATATCTCACTCTCCTGAGGATAACACAGAGAGATAAAGAACGGATGTTGTTTGAACGCCAGCAAACATACACTGCAATGCTTTGTTCTACAGTGATTCCTGAGTACGTGTTACTGGCCTGGAGTGGTAAAGTGTCCTACCATGAAGGACGCAATAAGGCTGCCCTCCCCAGAAACCTTTTGCAAAGGCTTTAGGACTACATCTAGGAGAACCGCAAATGCCAGGACAAAGTAATCCTTTCACATGCTTGCTTTTAAACCATGTATAGCATTTTAAAAGGTACACTCACCAGAGGTCCCTTCTCCGCCTGCTGGGTCCAGGAGGCAGCCTTGGGTGGGTTTGGGGGGTACTGGCTCCAGGTCTAGGGTGAGAAACAGTTCCTGGCTGTCGGGAAAACCGGTTTCTCTGCTTGCTTGCTGTGAGCTATTTACAACCTCCTCCTCATCATCATCTTCTTCGTCCCCAAAACCTGCTTCCGTATTGCCTCCATCTCCATTGAAGGAGTCAAACAACACGGCTGGGGTAGTGGTGGCTGAACCCCCTAAAATGGCATGCAGCTCATCATAGAAGCGGCATGTTTGGGGCTCTGACCCGGAGCGGCTGTTCGCCTCTCTGGTTTTCTGGTAGGCTTGCCTCAGCTCCTTCAGTTTCACGCGGCACTGCTTCGGGTCCCTGTTATGGCCTCTGTCCTTCATGCCCTGGGAGATTTTCACAAAGGTTTTGGCATTTCGAAAACTGGAACGGAGTTCTGATAGCACGGATTCCTCTCCCCAAACAGCGATCAGATCCCGTACCTCCCGTTCGGTCCATGCTGGAGCTCTTTTGCGATTCTGGGACTCCATCATGGTCACCTGCAGCTTGCCACGCTGGCCAAACAGGAAATGAGATTCAAAAGTTCGCGGTTCTTTTCCTGTCTACCTGGCCAGTGCATGTGAGTTGAGAGTGCTGTCCAGAGCGGTCATAATGGAGCACTCTGGGATAGCTCCCGGAGGCCAATACCATCGAATTGTGTCCACAGTACCCCAAATTCGAGCCGGCAACGTCGATTTAAGCGCTAATCCACTTGTCAGGGGTGGAGTAAGGAAATCGATTTTAAGAGCCCTTTAAGTCGAAATAAAGGGCTTCATTGTGTGGACGGGTGCAGGTTTACATCGATTTAACGCTGCTAAATTCGACCTAAAGTCCTAGTGTAGACCAAGAGTTAGTGAAGGCGTTTTACTTCCCTTTTCCTTTATTTTGAAACGTTCCTGTGAAATTTGTACTGTAGGAATCTCATAAAAGAGCAAGCTGCTATAAGACTCTTGTTCAAAATCTTGCAAAAAGCTTTGGAAGAGGAATTAGGTTAGACTAGTATGGCATAAGGTTATTCTCACTCAGCATCCCAAACGTTCAGGGTCAAAAGGCTATATGGATAGGGCTAGACTGTTGTCTTTCTGAGCCCAGGCAGGGGAATAAGGGAGAGTTATAGATTCATTGATTCTCAGGCCAGAAGGGACCACTGTGCTTATCTAGTCTGACCTCCTGGACAACACAGAGCACAGGACTTCCCCAAAATAATTCCTGTTCAAACCTCCTTGTGACCCTACACGGACTACCTGGACACTGGATCTGGGCATGCAGGTGTAAGTGGGGCTATGCTGCCTCTGACTTTGTCATTGGAGCAGGTAGACAGAGAACCGGAAGAGAAGAGACAAAGTCTTGACACCCTTCTCCTACTTCCTGGCCAGCACAGCTGAGCTAGTGCTAGGGATGTTGTAACATGCTGCTAGACCTGGCTAGCAGAAAACTACCCTGCTGAAGAAAGGAGAAAACAGGAGAAGGTTTGTGACTCCGTGAGGGTGTCTCTGAGGCACAAGGACTCCCAGGACTGCTACAAGGCTCTTCACCCCTGGCTCAAGGCTGTGACCCTTATTTGATTGTGGCTGAGATTCTGTGTGGTTGGGTTGTTTTGTTTAGTTTTTTAAAGAAAAGCTAATTTAATGCTTTTTGAAACACTTTAACTATACTGCTTTGCACAATCTGCAAGCTGCATCTGCAGCAAAGTGATGGCCACAGCAGCCTGGGTGACTGCTTTGCAGGTCAAGAGCCGCAACTGTAGCTCAGATTTAGAGAGGTCTGATGCTGAATGGGCTGTGGGAGTAACTTTTCACATCCTACTGATGATCTGGGAAGACTTCTTGGGTTCTAATCCTGCAGACACTTACAACTGACTGTTGTGTTCACCACTGCACATAATTGTGTTGAAACCAATGCTCATGGCATTACACCTGCTAGTATGTAGGATTGGGCCATTCATCACTGAGGGTATGTTTACAGGGCAATCAGACATGTACAGTGTTTTCCCCAGGAATTGAAATTAGGGGGGGAGTGTTCAAATATACAGGTGTGTGTGAGGGCCAATGAGGGTTGAGACCATGAGGGCAAAGGTAGGCTGTATGGCACCATAGTAAACACTGAAAAATGTTTCACGACCATTTTATTAGATTTAACTAGTGTTTTAAAATCATCACAGCAATTAAAGTTGGCTACTGAAGCCTACTATGAAGCAGTACATCTACATCCTTCTTGGTTTCTTGTAATTTTGCACAACTCTTTGGTGTCTTCTTGTGTGTCCGGTACTTCCAGTCCTTCATGATATGCTCACGATCAGGCAGAAGGCAACTTCTTCCAGAACACAAAATTCTGTTCAGTGAGGAAAAAGAATGCTCAACTGTAGCTGTTGTGACTGGGAGTAGCAAGAGATGAATTCCTACTTCTTTCATCCCAGGAAACACAGCACAAAGATTGGGTCGAACCACTAGTGATGATAATGAAGAAGTTGAATTTAAATCTTCATTCGTTTGTTGTTTGATATTCCACTTTAAAAATGTTCAAAATTCTCTGTTCTGTCCTGAGCACATAGCAGCCCCATTGCTGGTAGTGCCCCACTCCACTCAACTGTTGGTGTTTTATAAGACAGGCAACTGTAAAAGCTACGTAGAGGTTGAATAGAAATTGCTACTGTAAATTTGTAAGAATCAAGTCTGTACTTTTTCAGCTGGCTTAACAAACACTTCTTGTCCTCTTCACTTAAGGAGTCAATATAAGTGCCTTAATTAGTCAACTTCTAGACTGAAGTCTTTGCTTCTTCCAAAAAGAAAAGGAGTACTTGTGGCACCTTAGAGACTAACCAATTTATTTGAGCATAAGCTTTCGTGAGCTACAGCTCACTTCATTGGATGCATACTGTGGAAAGTACAAAAGATCTTTTTATACACACAAAGCATGAAAAAATGGGTGTTAATCACTACAAAAGATTTTCTCTTCCCCCACCCCACTCTCCTGCTGGTAATAGCTTATGTAAAGTGATCACTCTCCTTACAATGTGTATGATAATCAAGGTGGGCTTTACATAAGCTATTACCAGCAGGAGAGTGGGATATTTGTGTGTATAAAAACATCTTCTGTATTTTCCACAGTATGCATCCGATGAAGTGAGCTGTAGCTCATGAAAGGTTATGCTCAAATAAATTGGTTAGTCTCTAAGGTGCCACAAGTACTCCTTTTCTTTTTGCGAATACAGACTAACCCGGCTGTTACTCTGAAACCTTTGCTTCTTCCAGTACGTTTTCAATGGATATCTCTCTGATTGATCCAAGGGTAGCTTCTATTGCTGGACAAAGATCTACTACTGTTGTAGCAGATGCCTGGATGGCATTGTTTAATGACCCAAGTGGTTTCAACAGTAGACTTACAAGAGAGAGAAAGGTAATAGTCTTCTCTGAACTTAGTAACAAAAGTAGTTCGCCAGCCTCACTACTTAGATCTATCTTATCTTGGTAGATACTTTCCAAAGCCAGTAATAACCATTGCAGTAATTTTAAGACAACAGCCAACAGCTAAGGATCACTCATGAGAAAGCCAGCAGGTTTTCCCAGGTTGGATTTATTTGAACTTAAGTGCCAGTGTATCTTCTATTTCTTTCCAAGATGTTCAGTCCTTTTGGACTCTTGCTGAAGAAAGAGTATAACAAACCCATTAAATTTATGGCTTTTTAATGTTATTTGAAGATTCTGCAGCTCGTACTAGTGCTAGATGTTGTAGATGGCCTCTGCAGTGTGTACAGGAGAGATTAGGGTTACACCAAATGTACAAGCAGCCATCTGTTTGAGGTTCAATTTACAAGCATTTAACTCTTCTAAGATGTCACTGTGATGGTGCCCCTCATAGGGCTTTATGGAAATATGCTTATGAATATATATGACATAACTGGAATATGTTCTATGCTACATATGCCGTGTAACATATCTATGTAAAGGTTATGATCTACTGAATCTATTAATCCTATTTGTATGCATGTATCATTTTTGTTTTCAAAGTTACGAATATTGGCCGTGTACTGGCTTGATTTCTAAATAACCTTAGTAGAGCATTTGGTCAGTTCCTGGAGAAAGGAATCCGCAAAGTTAAGTACCCAGTTAAGAAGCACTTAAGTAACAATGCATCTTGGAAGGCTCCAATCCACACAAGAAGTCTTCCTGGAGACATTCAAGATACCATGTAGTCATGCATGGACATGTGACTTGCCCAGGTGACTCTAGAACTCCATCTTGGAGCTGGATTTTGCATAGGAGAGAGGAGGGGGTCTCCACCCACAAAAGAAAGTCTATTTAAGCCTTTGGGAGACCCCTTCATTTTGTCTTCAGCTGGCTAAGGAGAGAGCCTCTCCACCCCCAAGGATACCTGAAAGAAACTGGAACAAAAGACAGTAACTACAGGGGGTGTGAGTGATTGCTGGACCTAGACTAAAAGGAAGCTTACTGGGACTGGTGAGGTTTTGTCTATATTCAGTTTTATTAGACATAGACTGGCGGGTTTTATTTTATTTTGGTTGGTAATTCACTTTGTTCTGTCTGTTACTACTTGGAACCACTTAAATCCTACTTTCTGTACTTAATAAAATCACTTTTTACTTATTAATTAACCCAGAGTATGTATTAATACTTTGGGGGGCAAACAGCTGTGCGTATCTCTCTATTAGTGTTATAGAGGGTGAACAATTTATGAATTTACCCCGTATAAGCTTTATATAGGGTAAAACTGATTTATTTAGGGTTTGGACCCCATTGGGAGTTGGGCATCTGAGTTTCAAAGACAAGCACACTTCTGTAAGCTGCTTTCAGTTAAGCCCACAGCTGTTAGGGGATGTGGTTCAGACTTGGATCTGGGTTTGCAGCAGACTAGCGGGTCTGGCTCAAACCAGGCAGGGCACTAAAGTCCCAAGCTGGGAGGGCAGGGAAAGCAGGGGCAGAAGTAGTCTTGGCACATCACGTGGCAATTCCCAGGGGGTTTCTGTGATCCAACCCGTCACAGTCGCAGATGCAGCTGATGTGTCTTCTATATCTGAATATCTAGAATGCATCTACTGGCCTACTGTGGACATCAAGATAACATACGCAATGACTTAATACTTGATGCCTATTTGCATCAAGCCATGTATTTTCTGAATATGTTGAGCGAGTTCTTCACTGTTTCAACTGCTAAGTTTTTCACTGTTTCACTGCATGCTTCTAGACAGTCAGCTGCCACTGTGACCTCTGTGAGTCACTCTCTTGAGGTTCCACCCAGGTCTCAGTGATTTCAGCTCTCAGTGGGGGAACCTCACTGCTAATACAGGCTGGGCTGTCTCTTTCACAGAAACACTCTCCTACAGCAGGTCTAAGCACTTAGATCTGGTTATGAGTGATTTCAGCTCTAGCGGTCACTTAACAAACCAAAAGACTCTCTCTGGAGCCTAATCAGCTCTAGCTCTAAACAGGAGAGAGAGAGAGGCAGATCAAATAGTGCCTGTGACTCTTAGGCAGAGCCCACACCATCAAGCAAAACACCTGTGCCCCACCCTCCCTCTCTCTCTCTTCACTAGGATATGGCACCCAAACCTCCTGCTTAGGGAGTACAGTTCAGTTGAGGGTGATCAGTGCTTAATTTGTAATGAAAGAGGTGCCGGGGCTGAAGCAAGGTTGTTACTTTTATAACTGATGTGGCAAGCCCAGAGGTCACAGGGCTATGAACTGCCCAGTCTAGAGGTGCCGGGGCTCAGCCCTGGCAAGCCCTAGCTCAAATTAAGCACTGAGGGAAACCCCC